GGGCTGGTGCGGCCAGGCCCGGAGCAGCGGCTGCCAGGCTGGGAGCGGCCAGGCCCGGGGGAGCAGGCGGGTCGGGTGCGGCCAGGCCCGGAGCAGCGGCTGCCAGGCTGGGAGCGGCCAGGCCCGGGGGAGCAGGCGGGTCGGGTGCGGCCAGGCCCGGAGCAGCGGCGGCCAGGCTGGGAGCGGCCAGGCCCGGAGCAGCAGCAGCCAAGTCCAGAGCAACTAGGTTGGGAGCGGCAGTGACCAGACCCGGAGCAGCTGGTTGTGGAATGAACCAGAGCAACAGAGGCCAGGCCCTGAGCAGCCAGGCCCAGAACAGCTCGCTCCTTGCCTGCCCCTGCCCCACGGCTGCTTCTCAGACATGGATGGAAACTTTCGTGGGAACTTGAGTGTCTGCTGAATCAAGTGATGAAGGCTTAGATCTGGATGTGTTGAGTTAGTTTAGGATTGGGGTGTTGATCTGTGAGTGCCTTGGGTGGGGCCTGGATGAGGCTGGTTGACCTAGTGGGAAATGTCTTTTGTGTGAAGTGTATCATTGGGCATGTGGAGGTATTATTGATATGAGAAAATGCTAAGTAACTGATTTACTATCTGAAAAGGGATTTACTATTGGGGAAATTGAGGGAAGAAGAGACTGAACATAAACTGCACCTATGGATGAGGACAATGGGGGATGGGGGGGACGGAGGGTAGGGTGGGAACCTGGTGGAGGGGGGAAGAAATGAGGAACCTTTGTAATAATATGAACAATAAAGATTGCTAAAAAAAAAAAAAAAAAAAAAAAAGAGAAAATAATTGACAGGTTGCCTCCTGCACACCCCCTACTGGGGATCAAACCCGAAACTCAGGCATGTGCTCTGACTAGGAATGGAATGGCATTCAATCACTAAGTCACATAGGCTGGTCTAGATTTGAATTTTTATTAGTCACAGGACATCAAGAAATCCACTTAAGTTCTTTGTGTTTCATTTGCCTCAGATGTAAAACGGAAAGAAAAATGTCTGCTTTGCCTAAGCCTTCAATATAACAAAATGTTCTGAGTGAGTCCCGCTGCATGGAAACTCAGCATAACTATTTCATAGTTATTTCATTTATAGATTAGGTTAAAAAAATTGTGTCATAATCATGGCAGTGAACTCTCCATGACCCTCCAAATCATGGGCCGTAATATTTCCTTGGGTCATTTCGGTTCAGTCTGCCACTTCAGAAATGCCGTGGCCTTTTTCTAGGGTGTAAATCTAGGCCCTTGGGTCACGATATTTTATACTTTGGAACTTGAATGTCCTCTTAGGTTCACTCTCTTCTCTTGCTCTTTATTCCATACCAGCCCCAATATCCTCTAGTAAGACTTATGACAGGCACCGCGGCTGCTTTCTTTAGTTTATATATTTAATCTTCTAGTGAATAACTATGATAAAAAGCTATAACCTTTTAGCAACTGAAAGCTAACCTCAGTTTCTCCAAAGATCAAAAAGTCATTTTTCAGACCTTAACTTGGGTTATACAAATTTAAAAAGAGAAAAATGGTATTCTTTTAGACATCCACAAGAGAGCTTCAGTGAACAAAACTAACTAAGGAAGTGACAATGAAAAAATCAACTGTTAGAGCACTATTTTTTATACTTATATCAGCAGGATGTGTTCATTCAAACCATTTACCTCCATCCAGGCAAACTTCAGAAAACTAAACCATAAACTTTTTTCATAATTTCTATTTTTGCACAACTCACCCTCTCTTCCAGATAAGACTCAACAATGAAAGTTTGTTCTAACATATTACGGTTCTGCAAACTTTAAACATCTAAGCTATAAACATTTTTATTAATTTTCTGTTTTTGCATTCTGAGCCCCAGACCTGCATTAGAGGATCCCTACTAGAAGTAAAAGGGTGCCTTGGCACAGGACTTGTACCAACTACAGTGCTCAGCGCGTAAGACTTTCTCCCGCTATCGTAGGAGAGGGACACTGAACTCTGTAATGATGTTAGAAAGGGGAACTGCCAGAAAGACCCTATGAGCCATTGTGAACACAACTGCTTGGGACTGTTTTTCTGGGTTGAAGATCTTATCCTTAAACTTCCTGTGGTCAGTAGACAGCTGTCTGTTCAAGACAACAGAAAATGAGTCAGGCCATGGAGAGTGTCAGTGGGAAGAGCCTGCCATGACATCCCACTCCTTATCCCAACATCAGTATTTGACAAGTGAAAACCCAGAGGTTCAAAAAAGGTCGGTTGAAACATCCCTCTTGGACCCATGACTCAGGAAATGTGGTATCCAGGGAAAGCATGGCCAGGAAGCCTAATAATGCAATGATACCCTTTGTGTCAGCACCTTGACAAGGTGCTTTTACTTCTCAGCACTAAAAGAAATGGAGCTTGGGGACAATGCCAACACACCAACACAACTGAGTGCATTTGCAGTACTGCGGGAGTTGGATCAAAACTCTAAGAAACACCGAAGTGGCATCATAAAATATGTATACATATAAAATATGTTGAGCAAAATAAGCAAATGGAAGGATGCATAAAGTACAATATCATTTACAGAAACTTTAAAAACAATAATCACATCTAAGCAAAGTGTATATGCATGAATTCACATCATAAATTCCCAGTTCAGTAGATTAGTTACCAGAGGGGAAGGAGTAGAAAAGGATGATGGAGTGATTTACATGCAGATGCAAGAATATTTAAGACATTTTACTTCTGAGACTGAGTGATGGGTATGTGAGGCAGTTTTTCAGTGAGAAGGTGTGGAAAAGAACACCCAAGCTAAAATGGAGGGAAACCTTCTTAGCAACCATTAGGGCAAAGGATATAAGGACAATAGTGACAGGTTATAGAAAAGCAATCTACAGTAAAAGTGATTTCTTGTGTTACTGAATAATCAGTGAGTGACACACACAAGATCAATATAAGATCAACTCCTAAGGACCCTCCCATTAAAGGCTTTGAGCTCTAACAGTCTTCCCTGTTCTTCCTAGAAAATTAGTGAATACCTTAAAATGAAATAAAAATCTGACATCTTCAATTTGACCTGAAAAGCTTGAACACAGAACTCCTTTGAGAGACCATTAATGTTTCTAAGCTAAATGGGAACCATAAAAAAGGAGCCAGAATCTAGAAATATAGAAAGATTAAACAAGTACAACCAGAAAATATTGTTCCTTACCTAAATTGTGACCTTGAAAGCTCTCTATTGTATAAATTGTTTGGTTTTCAAATGGGGAAATACTTCTATTTTATTCCTGTGCACAATGCTTATTAATTTCATAAGAGATGTTTTCCATTTAAATTTATTGACCATGAAGATCAGGCCTTTAAAGATTACCTCTGCATTTCATTATCACTACCACCATATCAAAGCATTTATATTGGCCTAGCACTGCAAATATAAGGCTCTAATCCCCCTACAATTAAGAATTTTCTTAAAGTGTAAATCTTCCAGCAATTGACTGCATAGTAACATTCCTCTTTTATAAGAAGGAAATTTGTTAAGAAAAAATGTAAAACTTTCTGGGTTGTAGTAAAAATTTATTATACGAATGTAAATGTCTAACCCAAAGCTTTCCACAAGGATCTAAGAAAATCCTGTCCCTAAATTTGTCCTCTCTGATTATAATCCATTATCCTAATTTCAGCTCCCCATTAAACTGCTGAAGTGATAAAAGACTTTAAAAGTTAAGATTTCTGTTTCATAACTTTAAAAATTTTATGGCTTTAATGGAGGAACTCCTGAAGTATGTCAACCTCCTTTAATATATTCCTTAATTAGGGGATATTTTAGGAATGCTTTAGGAATACTAAGAAGTACAAAAGAATAATATAAGAAACACCCTCACATACCCATCACTCAGCCTCAGAAGTAAAATGTTTTAAATATTCTTGCATCTGCATGTAAATCACTCCATCATCCTTTTCTACTCCTTCCCCTCTGGTAACTAATCTATTGAACTGGGAATTTATTATGTGAATTCATGCATATACACTTTGCTTAGATGTGATTATTGTTTTTAAAGTTTCTGTAAATGATATTGTACTTTATGCATCCTTCCATTTGCTTATTTTGCTCAACATATTTTATATGTATACATATTTTATGATGCCACTTTTACGGAGAGAAACTTGAATACTTCCCTTAGGGTATATAACTAGGAGTAGATCGCTATATCTAGGGTAGGTTACCTGTCAATTTCCTTGATAAGGCCAAAATCTTTTAGTGGTCATAAAAATTTCTATCACACCCAAGAGAGGATTAGGACTCCCATTTCTCTAACATCTTTGCCAACATTGACATTGTCAGGCTTAAAAACTTATTTTATATAAACAATATATAATAAAATAGTATATCATTTTTTAGCTTGCAGGTAAAGCATCTTTCTTATGTTTTAAAAATATTTATTGGCCATTTGTAATTCTGCTTTTGTGTATGGCCTGTTCATAGACTATGCCCATTTATAATATTTTTATTAAATATTTTAGGAATTATTTATATATACACTTAGTGGCCAGATTATGATCTCTGAACACATAATAATATGGTCACTCAGTGTATATTCTATATAATAAAAGGCTAATATGCAAATTGTCCCCTTGACCAAGAATTTGACCAGCAGGCAGGCCGGCCAACTGCCACATCCCCTTCCCAGGCTGGCCGGATCCTACCCATGCATTAATTCATGGGTATATTTTCCGATTCATTCAGCTCTTCTTTCATATCTTCAATAAACTTTTATTATAAATTTTCCAGAAAATTATGTTTCTGTCATTATATTATATATAAAATATCTTTAAAAATTATATTAAAATATCTTTTCACCTAATGTATCCCAATTTACTCTACCATATTAAATGAATTTCATTAAACTTGCTCACTAAAGCTATAAATTCTAAGGTTTATTTCATAACACATAATCTAAATAATAATAGTAACTTAACTCTTCAGTTTGTAAATAATTTTTTATGTCATACGTTCAGCATTCATCTTAACCTCCGTACTCACCAAAAAGCTCCATTGTCTCTACTCTCAGTGTCCATGAAATTCGAGTCCAAAAATATGTCTTTGTAGATTCGCCCAACTAGGCAATACAAGTCTGAAGCTACTTGCCCTTCACCTTGCACCAGGGGAATCATAATATCAAGAGCTTTTGCTCTATCTCCAGGGAGATTTCTCCTAAGGTGGGGGGAGAAAAACATCCTTGTTTCAATACAGATTAGGTTAATGATCTTTTTAAAAAATATTTTTATTGATTCCAGAAAGGAAGGGAGAGGGAGAAATAGAAACATAGCTGATGAGAGAGAATCATTGATCACCTGCCTCTTGCATGCCTCACACTGAGGATTGAGTCCACAACCCAGGCATGTGCCCTTGACCAGAATTCAACCTGGGACCCTTCAGTTCGCAGGCCAACATTTTATCCACTAAGTCAAACCAGGTAAGTCAATTATCTTTTTAAAATTCTAATATGTTGATTCATATTAGGCAGAAAAACAATTAGACTTTGAGAGACCTCTGTAAGCCTCTGTCCCAACACTTTTTGTTTTTTTAATCCTATTGCTTGTTTCCTGGGTCTAACAAGGATCTTTCTTGAATTGCTTTTCTGATAACGGTGATGGTTTGTTCTTACCTATCCACAGTCCTTCCAATTTCCCTGCAGTCTATATGTAGGTTCAAGCTAGGTGTGAGATTAGAAATGAAGTTTGTGGTCCCAGATGGGGCAGAGTCAACTAATCCAAACAGGGACAAAACCCTGACTTTAGGTTTTAATGGTTTTTGCTCCAAAAACACTGAGCAAAGCAATTCACAAACAATACCAACAAATCAACTTTAACCCAAGGATTGCCTGATTTCTATGTGTGACCAATCAATTATTTAAAAAGCTGCTTTGTGTAGCTTGTTCTAAAATAGCAAGTTTGTATGATGTGTGCCATAGTGGCAACAGAAGGGAGAGAGGCAGGACTAGGAGCAGCAGTATTAATTCTGGACCTAGAAGATTCATTGACACATGACCTATGATAATAATTAGGTGTGCCCAGAGCAGTCCTAGTGAAAATATTATCTGGTTCAGAATATGTTCACCTAGACATAACTACCCTTAAACCTAATTTAATCCATTTTTTTTAAAAAAATATGTTTTTATTGATTACAGAGAGGAAGGGAAAAGGAAAGAGAGACAGAAACATCAATGATGAAAGAGAATCATTGATTGGTTGCTGCCTGCATGACCTACATTGGGGATCAAACCTGCAACCTAGGCATGTGCCCTGACCAGGAATCAAACCATGACCTCCTGGTTTATAGGTCACCACTCAACCACTGAGCCATGCCAGCGGGGCCTAGTTTAGTCAATTTTTGCATGAATAACCACTTGGTATTCCGAGTATGTTTGCTTAAAAAATAATATGATATTCATGTAATTTAAAAAATTCTAAAACCTGTAAATAGCAGATACAGACTTATAAGAATTTTATTCTAAAAAGATTGTGGATCTTTTCTTACTAACAAAAAATCATAAAATAATAAAAATGCATGCTTCCTATATTTTACATGGTTCAAGTGGAAATATTAATATTGCATTCTGATAGGGAGTGGTTGCAGGGCTAAAGCAAAAACATATACCCTATAAAGAATATACAGGTTAAAAAATATGTTAGCACATTGTGAACAGGAACTTTTTCTTCTTACCTATTCAGTGCAAATGCATAATGAAACTTCACATGATGATGGGAGGCCAAATCAAAGGTTGGCAGCTTTTCTAAAGTCTCTACCAGCTTCACAATAGAATCATATTCCTTTAAACAGAGAAGAATGGCACAGAATTAAACCAGTAGGAGAAAGTCCTGACAATGATATGCTTTTTGACAACCAATTATTTTAATCTGAGTAGGGCATTAAAAAGAGAACTAAAACCCAAGGAATACATTGAAAAAGCTACAACCAAGAAGAAACTTTAAAAAAAATTAGGGTTTTGATTGCATAGATTGAAACATTAGAAATACAGTTACCACATCTAACCAGCAAAACAAGAAACCATCTAGCATGGTAATGTTATTCTGACTTGATAAGGTTGTACTTCTCCCTGGAGCCAGATTCCTGGCATGCAGTGTCCTATCAATTACTTTAGGGAAATAATTTCCAAAATATCAAGAACACGAGGCAACTGATTGAACTTTGGTTATCATCCACAGAACAACTTTATTTCAACATGAATAAGCTACTCTAGTCATAGAATCCTAAGTGCCACACTTCTCCACATGGACAAATCTCTGCTGTTCTGAACTCAGTCCTGAAAGGCTGAAAATAAGAAACCAGAACTCATATTTTATTGTAAAAATCTAATCGCAAATCCCCAACTCAGAGGAGGTTTCATTCTACTTATCGTATTTTTACAATTTCAAGACATGTCAATAAAACAGTATGGAATGTGGGTGTGTTTTATATCATATATTTTAAAAGGTCTTTTTACAGGAATGTAAAAGTACAGCATAGGGAACATAGTAAGCCATAATGTGATAACTATGTAGGGTGATCACATTATAAGTTATAAAAATATCTGATCATTATGTGGTATAGCTAAAACATATTGTATGTCAACAGTAATTAAACATTAAAAATATTTTAAAAGTTATTTTTATAATTAATCAATTGCATATTTCTTCCTCCTGGCTATCAATTTTTTTGTGTGTTTTAAATATATTTTTATTGATTTCAGAGAGGAAAGAAAAGAGAGAGAGAGATAGAAACATCAAAGATGAGCGAGAATCATCTATCGGATGCCTCCTGCTCACCCCCTACTGAAGATGAACTGGCTATCAATTTTAAGCAACATAATTTCAATGGAGATATGTCCATAAAACTCAAAATTTTGGCTGTTTACCAAAACAAAGCTTTTACTTATTGACTGGCAGGTGAACCGGAGGCTAATATAACAGAACAGATTGTCCTGGGTTAGCTATGCTTGCAAATTTTTTTTAGTCCCTTTGGAGGAAAAAGACCTTTATAATACAAGTCTTTCATAATCACTAGCTGTTACTCATATGAATCTATCTTGTTCATCATAAAATCTTGGGACAGAAAGCATACAAGTGTCAATAAAAAATTTTATGTACTAGCCAAAACCGGTTTGGCTCAGTGGTAGAGCGTCGGTCTGTGGACTGAAAGGTCCCGGGTTCGTTTCTGGTCAGGGGAATGTACGTTGGTTGCAGGCACATCCCCGGTAGGGGTGTGCAAGAGGCAGCTGGTTGATGTTTCTCTCTCATCGATGGTTCTAGCTCTCTATCTCTCTCCCTTCCTCTCTGTAAAAAAAAAAAAAAAAAAAGGACTAACATGAATGAATTAGTTAACTGAAATTTGATGTTAATACTTCCATATATTTCCAATATACTATTTGAAAAAGATTTTAAGCATCTTCTTACCTGTATATCTCTGTAGGAAAGTAACAGATTTATGACAATATCTGCTGTCAAGACTTCAATATTATCTAATCGCTGCCGAATTCTTGCCAATTCAGCTGCCAGTTCTTTACCAGTGTATAAATTACGAGCTTTCCTGATATCATTGAGTATAGATTCCCGGAAATACTGGCTGATGGGAAAACACATTTCAAAGAGTTAATACTAGAAAGAATTTTCATGAAAAGTAATAATTTTATATGAAAAAGAATGGCATTTGCATCATTGTTAGCTTACAATTCATGAAGATGCACAGAATAAACACCTCGCATAAGTAGCTTTATTAAGAAATTTAGAAATCCTGTTTCTATTGATACTCTGCCTTGCTTCAGGAAGCATTAAAGGTAGACATTCTATGTTAATGAATTTCCCAAGAACCTGTAATGAACCATTTAAAATGCCAAAACTTTATTTTTAATTTTATGGTTTTGAATATAAATTATTCTAAACAAATTAAGGTGTGTCTATGATTTGAATATAATATAACCTTTACTTTCTGACTCAGCATCATGATTTAACAATATAAGTCACCCTTAAATAAAAATAAGAAACCATATAATGTTATACTTAAATAAAATATAATAATGCTCTCAGCAATTTTTGCCGAGTTCTTGCTCTTATAATAAAAGTCCCTGGACATTCCCTAGGATAATATTTCTGTACTTACACAGCAGTCTTTTATATTTCAGATTTCAAGTTAGTCTGTGAATAAGTGAATGAAATGCAACATGTAAATTACGGGGCATCTCTTTTATTCACTTGGAGGATATTATACATTTTTCCTGCTTCTTGGCTGCTGTGTACTATATCTAAGAAACAACTCATCAGATGCACAAATAAGTAAAATAGACTAACACTTCCTTTATTAAACTTACCTGGAGCCAGCTTGTGCCACGTTCAGAAGTTGAATGAAACGATCCACAAGAGGTAAGCAGATGGGTCCCAGAAGCAGCTCGAAGTTGGACTGCATGAGCTCTGACAGCCCCTTCATGAAGCTGCAGTCACAGCAGTAGACCTTGTTGTGTGGAGTCACCATGTAGGGGACGAAGGTGTAATTCCCAGTGCACATCTGTGGAGGGAGGCACCGGGAGGTGGTGAGCCAGTCTGAGGACTCCACACTAGCGTAACCCCAAGTCTTACTTAAGTGAGCATTGTAAGTAATAATCTGAATGTGACAGGAAAGAGAAAAGTTTCATTTTTTATTTATGACCTATGAAAATGAAAATTCCCTCCCATTTCTTTAATTGCTTCCTTCAAGTTATGAGGACTTACAGGTGATTCAAAAAACAGTATGGGTCAGTTTCTATCAATCAATTTAAATATTCACCATCTCTCAGGGATGAGGCATATGATATATATTATAGAAAAAAACTGTCATTTAAAACAGTCTTCTGCCTTTAGGGAACTTAAAATTTAATCAGAGAGATGCAATGCAAATACAGGAAAATAGTAAGAAGTAACATTTAGGGCTGCCAATTTGACAGAACTAAGCTACTCCCCTCCAGGTTCCTGGGTCTCAGTCATGGCTCCATTAGTCTCCCAGTTACTAAAACTAGAGATGTAGAAGTGATCCTTGATGCTTCCATTTCCTTTGCCTGCATATCATACCAAAATCCTATCTATCCTAACTCTAAAATAAATCTCATATTTGTCAATTTCCTGCCATCTTCTCTCCAGCACCACAGACCACCAATGCCACGAACACACCGGCCTGGACCACTGTCTCCCTGCTTGCAGTCCTGACCTCAATCTATGGCCTAACCAGCTGTCAAAGTGATCCTTTTACAGCCCATATCAGATCACTTCCCTCAGCTGTCTAAAGTCCTCTCCCAGGCTCCCGAGATGAAGATAAGTCGTATCACGTAGTACAAAGGCCTGACTACCCAAATTCTGCCTCTCGCTAGCCCCAGCTCATGCTGCTCTGCTCCACTCACTCACTCACTCACTCATCCTAATCTTCCGTCGGTTCCTAATGGGGCCAAGTGAGGGTACACTAGAGCAAATAGAAGTGGAGCTGGGAAGAGGAAAGGCAAAAAGCACACTGGGCACTTCTGAGTGAAAGTGTGTCAGACCAGAATTTAGGGTTCAGGGCAGGGGAGTGAAGGCAAAGCTGAGGATTTTATTATTATTATTTTAAATATATTTTTATTGGTCCTGACCAGTTTGGCTCAGTGGCTGGAGCATTGGTGTGCAGACTCAAGGGATTCTGATCAAGGGATGAACCTTGGTTGTGGGTATATAACCAGTGGGGAGTGTGCAGGAGGCGGCTGATCGATGTTTCTCTCTCTTCGATGATTCTAACTCTCTATCCTCTTCCTCTCCCTTCCTCTCTGTTAAAAAAAAAATCAATAAAATATACCGTATTTAAAAAATATATATATTGATTTCTTTACAGAGCCAAAGGTGAGGATTTTAAATTACATATGCTGGGCAGGGAGAATCATGGAGGATTCAAAGCAGGAAAGAAAACACCATCAAGGCAGTGCATTCTGACAGTCTGGGCAGAAAATTAGGTAGGAAGCTACAAAGCATGAGCAGACTGGCAGCAGTAGCAATGGACACATGCCCTCAATGTCAAAAAGATAGAATCATCTAGACCTGACAACTGGTCACAGAGATTGAGAGAGAGGGGAAGAAGGTGTCAGAGGTTGCTCCACAGTAAGAATTCAGAAAGCAGAACCAGACTTAAGCATTTATGGACGTTCTGCACTCAGGAGCACTTGTTATGTATCAGGCAATTAATCAAACAGAACCTGACTTCCCATTAATATCTAAGAAGAAGGTCAAGAAGCTGAGGTTTGGCCCAACCAGCATGGCTCAGTAGTTGAACATCAACTTATGAAGCAGGAGGTCTTGGTTTGATTCCTGGTCAGTGTACATGCCCAGGTTGTGGCCTCGATCTCCTGTGTGGAGCATGGAGGAGGCAGCCGATTAATGATTATCCCTCATCATGGATGTTTCTATCTCTCTTTCCCTCTCCCTTTCTCTCTGATGTCAATAAAAATATATGTGTGTTTTTAACGAAGCTGAGGTTTGTTTTGGGGTGGAAGGGTGAAACGTTCACTTTAAAGAGGTTAGGATTTCAGGAGAGCAGATACCCAAAGAGAAAATACCCCAAATAAAGTTAGAAATACATGATTGGAACATAAAAGAGTTTCAAGCAAAAACACAAACCCGAAAGAGACCTCTAAAGGAAAAACCACAGACAAAAGGAAAATGAAAAGACTGAAAATTAGAAAAAAGGAAAATGAAAGGACTGAAAATTAGAATATGTGGAAAACTCCCAGGGAGCATAGGGAGTTCCCAGCTGTATCAGCCTTTCAGAGAACAAAACATCCCTGCTCTGACCCTCAGGTATAAACGAATGAGAACAAACATTTATTTACCACTGGCATGCATCAGGGAACGAGCTGTCACAGTTCACAACAACTGCTGAAGAAGCTGCTACTGTCTCTGTTTTGCAGGTGAGGAAACAGGTAAGGCTTTGAGAGGTCACAGCCGGTCTGTGCTGTGTGTGGGACTCCAGCCAGGGTCTCTTTCTCCAGAGGGTTTATCATTATCACTAGAGGCCTGGGCACCCTCCCCAGTGTCCTTTACGTGCTGGCATGCCAACCCTTTGCCTCAGGTCACCTTCCTTGAACCCTGCATGAGCCAAGTTACTGTCACATAGCAAACAGACAAGAAGTGCCAAGTGCCCTAGTGGCCAGACTTAATTATTTACGAACATTGTATTCTTTGAGGCACTGCTTGTATGGAAGGCAATGAAGCAGAAACCTGGCTTCCCGTTAAAAGCATGAGAAGAACTTCCGGAGGTTGACATTTGATTTTTAAATCAAGAACACAAAGGTGTTCCTTTCTCAAGTTCTCCTCCTTCAGGCAACAATAATTGGAAAACTAGTCAGAGAGAGGGGGAATCAACATATCCTGCTTTTAAAATGTCGCCGAGATTCCATAGCACAGACACCAATTTAATCCTTTTACCCAAGCCACTGCCCGGGCAGAAAAGAAAAGCAGGACAGTCAAAGGCTGCTTTCCAAAGCTTAAACCATGAACAGGTTATAAAAGAGCAACAGAATCAAATGCTTCTGTTTTTAGATGAGCACTATAACAAAATCACAAAAGAAAGTGCTCTGAATCTTCTAAGTCACAAAAGTAGGAGGAAAAAAGATGGAAAGACAATGAACTAGAAAAGTGATATGAGCTTCAGAATATTATTCTTCTGCTGATGGATCAAGTTCTGTATCCTCAGGAGCCTTAATACCACGTGCATTTGTGTATAAGACGTGAAATATAACACACCGCTGTTGCAATACTAGGCATTGGGGAATAATACATCTGTGCAAAACGAATTCTGGGAGAGAATGACTATCAGATGTCTGGGTGTGTGCTGAGCAGTGTAGGAGCAAAGAGAGAAAAATGAGAGTCATGCAAACAGCAGAGAAAAATAGATTCCTGAAATTGTCTTCTTCAAAACCCAAGGAATAAGATTTCAGAATTCTTGTTCACAATATCCTGCATGCTGTTTTTCTAAGTTCCTGGCCTCACTGCACTTTATTGCCTATGTTTATGAGGCAATAAATTCCCCCCTCCCCCCAATTTCCCACTGTTGTTAAAAAACAAACAAACAAACAACAACAACAAAAAAGAAAAACAGGACAGGCTGAGAATCTACAGGAGGCACAGGCATATTACTAGGGGTGCAGTGGAGGGAAAGTATGGGGGTTGGTTGTGAGATGTTCTTTTTAAAAATATATATATATATAAACTGCTGAGAAAAGCACTTTTTCAAAATAATATGGAAACATTTAGTTCCCAAGTGGGCTCGCATAAAGCTTAGAAATATTATAACTGCAATTTCTGCTTACAAGATTGCTACCAATCCCAGAGTTTGAAGTCACTAATGATCCAAAACAAAATAACAGCAACTGTGCCCAGGCCAGGTGGCTCAGTTGGTGGAGCACTGTCCTGTACAACAAAGGACTGCAGGTTCGATTCCCAGGCAGGGTACATACCTAGGTTGCAGCTATGTCCTCAGTCAGGGCACATATGGAGGCAACCCAACCAATCAATGTTTCTCTCTCTCTCTCTCTCTCTCTCTCAAATCAATAAAAACATATCCTCAGGTGAGGATTTTAAAAATACACAAACCAACCACTGTCTGATCAAGAACAGACATCACAGGTGAAAAAAAAAAACAAAAAACAAACAAACAACAAAAAAAACCCCAACCAAACAAACAAACAAAAACACCTTTTTTTTTTTTTTTAACTGCTTTTAAAAGGACCATATTTCCTTAAATTTCAAAACACTAAGGCATGGTCATAAAATAACAATGCCAATCCCTTGAGCCCATGCTTGTTTCCATGGCTATAAAAACTCACAGCTCAAAATCTAGTCTTATTCTAATTATCTTCACTGTTTTAATTAAAATAATGCCATTTCTGTATTTAATTTTAAAAAAAATCCATAAAAATGAACATAAGCATGTGTGGCAAATAAATTATGCTTCTGGGAAGAAGTGCTCTCACATTCAAATATATTGAAATATATGCTCAAAATACTCAATTTTTGATAAAGACACCCAGTACCTAAAACAGCTGCTTACTCAAATCAATGGCAACTTGGTCATAATGTTCAGTCTTCAGTCATCTTATAAGCCTGCTTCTCCACACATCCAAACCTACCATTCAAGTCTCAGGTAGCACTTGCTACATCCTCTGAAAGACCTTCCATGACCACTTGATGCAATGGTCACCCACTCTTTAGCATGTTGCCTTATGTTAATTTTCTAATTGGTTTGCTTGCTTATTTGTTTACTGTTTTTTGCCCCTAAGTAGACTCTGGCACTTCTCATTTGTTGTCTCACAAAGCAGCTATGAAATGTGGTTTTCACTTTCAACCTCCTTTGTGAGTCCCTGTGGCACGAGCCCGAAGCTTTGCACATGGTACATGCTCAATCAATATTTGTTTAATGAAATCTGTTACACCGAATTGATGCATGAAGCAATAATTGTTCATTTCCTGTTGAATGCAGAATGAGTTCATAATGGCAGTATTATTTATGCTGCAATGAGTCTCTGACCTGGTAAAACCTTAACCATAAGCTTTTACATTTCTGATCTACGGAAAAGCTATCAATTGTACTTTTAATGTTATCATCTTAAATTGAATCATGCAGATATTCATAGTATATTATTTCTACTCTAAGTTGCAGAGATACATTCTTTAAAATTTTCAAACACTGACTTACTTTCCAAAATGAAAAATACAAACATTGGTATGACAGGTCATTCACCTGTATGTTCTTTTTCTTCAGGCATTTAAACATTTTAAAAATTTTATTTCTGTCACTATTTAACTTTTGTTTAATGCTGTGTGGAGGATAGGAATTTTGTAGTGTTATCTCAAAAACAGATACAAGACTTAAGAACTTAAATCAATCTCTATTGATAAATAGATAATAAATTAGATAGAATTATGCATGTATAAATATATCTATATTAGTGGCCCTGCTCACGAATCCATGTGCGAGTAGCTCACTGCAGCTTGCCTCAGCTGGCCACCCGGCTCACCATCGCTCATATCTCTCTGCTGCACACAGCTTGCTGCCCCACCCTCCTGTAGCTATCCGAAGCTTGTAGCTCGCTGCCCAGTCTTCCTGCTGTTCAGTCATTACATGACAGTGTCCCAGACCCATTTGCATATTACTCTACTATAAGTATAGATATGTGCAGGTATTTATGTGTATATTTATATCTATAATTTTATATATAGCTTATATTATATATATAGATATACATACATGCAAACACATATGTGTATCTGTGTATATATAGTATGCTGCTTTAGTATCATTCATAATTCCACAAAATTGGATGTACTTTGCAGATTTTTTCAAAAAAGTAATTATGTACTTTTTAAAAAGCAGGTATCAGTGTCACCTTCCAATATTATAAATGAAATCTTACTATAAATGAATATTTAGATAAAATTATCATATCTATATGGATATATCAGAAACTGTAAAGAGATAGAAATTAAAATTTTGTGGAGATGAAAATAACAAATTAGTTGATGGAAAAGAAAATATAAAGTTTCTAGAAGGGTTAAGTAAAATACTCACAGTATTCTTCTGGCAAATGATTTCCTGCGGGGGGTGGAAAAAAAGTAAAGATGTCAATACAAAACTAATTAATTTAATTAATTAACTGAACCATACTTTATGGGAAATTATGTGTTAATAATTTTATTAGCGATTAGAGATTTCAGGGAGTGTAAAATATGTTTTTGCATATGAGACTTTAATAATCTGACAGAGCAGAGTGGGGAAAGCACAAAAAACAACACAAATACGTAAAATCCCCAAACTGAATAATCTAAGAATCATTTTGGCAGAATAGGTAGATGTAGAATTACTTTCCCAGCCATGATCTTTTTGGAAACTGTTAAAGTGAGTTGAATTTGCCTGAATAAGTACAACCTCACTCATGCAATGGGAGGAGACCAAGCAGCATGCTGCCTCCAGGGCAGCTGGGAATAAAGGGCATTGGCCACTTATCAACATGGGCCAATCCACACACAGACAGTAAGGCCACCTGTCAATAAATAATCATAAACATGATTATGTATTATTCAACAAGAAACAGAATTCAATAAACATGTTGCAGGCAGTATCCCTGTCTTTTAGGCTGTGAGGAAGGAGATCATGCAAATAATGTGCCTGGTGCATAGAAAGCTCTTGATAAAGCTAGCTATCATCATTATTATTCCTAGATGTTAAAGTGACTAGAACCGTGCAGGAGAATCTAGAAAAGCCTGAAGTATAAAGGCTTCGCTGAGGGTGAGGAATCATAATTTAGAAAAAAGATAATAGAACAGTTTATTGGAAAAGGAGGTATGCATGTTGTCATGGAAACAGGAAATGTAAGACATCTGTGAAGCCTCAAAGGTGGCTAAGAAGAGGAGGCAGGCCCTCGCCAGTTTGACTCAATGGATAGAGCACTGGCCTGTGGACTGAAGGGTCTCAGGTTCGATTCCAGTCAAGGGCACGTGCCCAGGTTGTGGGCTCAATCCCCAGTAGGGGATGTGCAGGAGGCAGCCGGTTAATGATTGTCTCTCATCATTGATGTTTCTATCTCTCTCTCCCTCTCCTTTCCTCTTTGAAATCAATAAAAGTATATTAAAAAGAAAATAAGAGAAGCCAGCTGTGGTAGGTGAGAGAAGAACCATACAAAATTCAGGGGACCAGCCATCATTCTTCATCCCAGGATCAACATGGTGGCAAGGGAATCCAATGAGGGCTTTGGCTTAGAGCAGGATGTAAGACTTCTGAATGTTTAAGGATAACAGATAAGTAAACAAAAATCTACAGAGAAAGGAATTGTGCTGGGTAATTTTGAGAGCCATAAAATACACATAACTAAAAAACCTTCAATACTTCACAATCTTGCTGATAAAAAAGGATGTGTGCACATTTAAAAAGAAATATCATAAGCCTAGATGCACATGCATGTGTGCACACACATGCTAAGTCAAAAGAGTATATAGTAGTACATCAAGGGTGGGGTTTCTAAGAGAAAGAAGATGTTACTAAGAATTGAGAAGATCAGCAGAGAGGGTGGAACTCAAGATGAGCCAACAAGAACAGACACAACTTCCAAAGGCAAGGCTGGGAGGTGAGGACCATAGCTAGAGGAGTAAGAACAGCAAAGGCCCACTTAGGGAAGAACAAATATTATCACTGGTTAAAGAAGACAGTTCATTTGGGGAAGTATAGAAGAGAAAATTAACAAAGTATTTGAAAAAGGTCTTAAATGTAATCTTTGGACTAAAGCAGACAGTTCATTTTGGAAAGCACAAATAATAAGATTAGAAAGTCATTGAAGAGGGTTTTGGTTGCCAAAATATAGTACTCTGTTCTGTGGGCATTGGGCAAAGTGTTTTTTAAGCTGAGCCATATTCATAATGAAGTGTCAACACACAGGGAATACTTTTCTAACTGCAAAGGTTGGGAACAAAATAAACGTCTATCAACTAGAAAGTGGTTGAATCCACTAATGAACTTCAATGCAGCCAAACAAAGAATGAGGAAGTTCTTTATGTAGTGATATGGAAAGATCTCCAAGATATACTGCTAAGTGAAGAAAGAGCAAAATACAGAATGGTGTTTTGTTTTGTTTTTAAACCTCACCCAAGGATATTTTTTAGAGAGTGGAAGGGAGGGAGGGAGCAGAGTGGGAGTAGGGGAGGAAAGGAGGGAGAAACATTGATGTGAGAGAGACACTTTAACTGGTCTCACACAAGCCTACAACCTAGGTAGGTGCCCTTGACCGGGAATCACACCCACGACCTTTTGGTGCACGAGTCAACGCTCTAACCAGGTCTAGAATGGTTTTTACTCTCTGCTCCTATTTATGTATAAAAGGGAGAAAAATAAAATTCTAAGTTGTACAATGATAAAATATCTCTGGAAGGATAGACAAGAAACTAATAACAGATGTTTCCAATGAAGAGGGGAGCTGGCTGGCTGAAGGACAAGGAAGTAGAGTGACTTTCCCCTATACCACACATTCTTTTGCACTTAAAAATTTTTAAATGTATTACCCAGGTGAATGTGTTACCCAAGAAAGACAAATACAACGTAAACCTTGTTGAAGTTTTTAAAATATTAACTAGTGGCTGTATTTCACATTGGACGGGAAATGTATTTAGGTAACTATTGCAAAAGTCCAGGGACCTCACAATAAGGCCTTGGGCAATGGTGGTGCCCAAAGAATGGAAATCAAGAGACAGATGAGTGACATAGTGGGGAAAGGTCGACAGAGTTTTTTCTTACAGGTGTTTCACAAGCAGCTATTGTGTTCACACAATCATGCCCATATGCACACACACAGACGTACACACATATATGCACAGGTCTCTGAATAAACTATTATTATAAAACTAGGGACTCAGTGCACAACATTCGTGCGCTGGGGCAGGGGGTTCCTCAGCCCGGCCTGTGCCCTCTCCCAGTCTGGGATGGCTTGGGGGATGTATGCCTCGAAGGAGTCCTTAGTGCTGCTGTGGAGGCGGGAGAGGCCCCCACTACTGCCACTGTGCTCACCAGCCATGAACCCAGCTTCTGGCTGAGCAGTGCTCCCCTGTGGGAGCACACTGACCACCAGGGGGCAGCTCCAGTGTTGAGCATCTTTCCCCTGGTGGTCAGGGCGTCTCATAGCGACAGGCCATTTTGCTGTTCGGTCACTTTGTATATTGGCTTTTTATTATATAGGTTAAAAAGAAAAACGTTGGATAATCAACAAAATAAGGGACACAGTATGGAGAATTTTCAAAATCTGTTTTATGATACAAGTCTCCAGAGCAGTAAATGACAGCCTTTCATACACTGTTCTCTTGATAGGAAGATCCTCCCTCCTCTAAGTAACAAGGAAAAGCCCTTCTCTTCAATGCTCTGCCTAATAGCATCCCCTGTGCACAGCATAAAAAAAAACGTTTTCTGTGAAGCTGGCCTTTACTGTCTTCTATGATATCTATCTTCCCAAAAGAAGTAGATGATGCCATATTTTGGCTGTCACTAACCCTCATAACACACCTCTATGACAGCACTGCCTGTACTAACTGGCAAATGTTTCTTTATATGATTCTCTGATCCCATAGCATGAGTCACCTTGGATGCCAGGGCCATGTTTTGTTCATATTTGTTTTCCACTAACTGCCAAGAAAATTGAATGGCCCAGAGTAGGTACTCAATGAGAACATGAATAAATAAGTTAATGAATGTATAAGATACTGGACTATGGTCTGGGTGGATATGTGTAAGTGCTGGCCTGCTCCTGTTATTTCACCTCTCTGTAAAGTAACATACTGCGAGTAAGGTTGAGTGACCGCTGGTCTCTTACAACTCTGTGCTCTTATCATTCTGCTTTAGCTAAAGGCCCATCACAGTCAACACTGTTCTTGTGTCACCGGAAGGAGAGATGCCCCCATTCCCTGCACTGGAGCTACTCTACCATCATCTCTCTTTTAATGCACCAGGCACAGGAATGGAAGTGGTAATCACAGGAGGTGACTTGTCTCTTGTGGTGAGAACTGAGTGAGTTAAAGGCTCTGGTCCCTATCTATACTAATAAAAGGGTAATATGCTAATTAGACCAGATATCTTCTGGACGTCTTTCTGGACATCTTTTTGGACAAAGCCACAGTGGCAGAGACCGAGGCAGAGGAGGTTAAGGGTGATCAGGCTGGCAGGGGAGCAGTTAGGGGGCAAACAGGTCAGCAGGGGAGAGCAGTTAAGGATGATCAGACCACAGGGGAGAGCAGTTAGGGGTGATCAGACCAGCAGGGGAGAGCAGTTAGGGGTGATCAGGCAGGTAGGGGAAAGTGGTTAAGAGCAATCAGGCAGGCAGAAGGCAGGTGAGCAGTATAGGAATCTATTGAATTCTTATGAACTATTGCTTATGTCTTATAGAAGCTAATTAGATATAAATTGTTCTCTTGAAGAAGACACTCAGTTTATGATATAACTTCAAATGAGGTAACAACTGAAAAGACAAAAACAATACTATTTGTGCATTTTAACTCATACAAATAAATAGCAAACAAGACCTCAAAAGCTATCTACCTACTGAAGCAGAATAGTGAAAGCTTAATTTGTACTAAACCCATTAAAATAAGTAAAAGGAGGAAGAGGAATAAATTTGAGACACAACTGCCATATTTCACATCACTTCATGGAAGTATCTCATCTAGGTGCCTAGAAATATAAAGATAAAATAAATATAGCCAAAACCGGTTTGGCTCAGTGGATAGAGCGTCAGCCTGTGGACTGAAGGTTCCCAGGTTCGATTCTGGTTAAGGGCATGTACCTTGGTTGTGGGCACATATCCAGTGGAGGGTGTGCAGGAAGCAGCTGATCAATGGTTCTCTCATTGATGTTTATAACTCTCTATCCCTCTCTCTCCTTCTCCGTAAAAAATCAATAAAATATATTAAAAATAAATAAATAAATATAAATTTCAGCTTCTTATCAGAGGATGTTTCTGGAGATGCACTGCCCCATTACAACTTCATAATTGTATGAAATCTTTTTTTTTTCTTCATTTTTTCATTAAGGTATTATGTATGAAATCTTTAGGGGACTTCTGC